ACATATGCCAGGGAGTCGGTAGAACGGCGCAAACACGCCCACAGTAAGCTCGTAATGAAAATAAAATGGGCTTTTCGGGGGTCGCAAGGCTAAGTATTAGGCTGGTAGATTGAATCATAGATCTTTCACGAGATGGTTTCTCGCTTGTCCGATGCTAGAATACGTCAAGAAACAAACAAATTCCGTCCGTGTAAAGAGATGTCATCCAAGGATCTTGAAGATCTTCAGCCCCTGCCTGTGGAAATGTATGTACGTACCTAGTTAGTACCCCGAATCCTTAAGTCATTGACGACCCTTCATGCTGCAAAACGGCATTTAGGCCCGATACCTTTCAATTCCCCCGACGGTTCAGAAGAGGGCGACGCAGTGATGACGATCGCGATTTGCTTATGGGATGCTATCGTATGTTACATATTACTTACAGTAAACTAACTTCTTCCCTCCTATTTAGAAACCGACATCGATCTAGTGACGCGCGACCGTGTGTAGCTAACATTATCGTCTCAACAGAATCAGTCGGTGCGGTCCAAAAGGGGGAGCTGCAAAGAACAAAATGGCGGGGGCTTCGAGATAACGATAGAAGCTCGATGGAAACGAAAGAAGCAGAAGATGGTCGCACTATTAGTTGCGAGACCCATGTCGACTAGGTCTCGGCGCCGTCGTCAGACTGGCCATCCCATTGGTGGTAGTTACACGGTCCGCTACGCTATAGCAAATAAGCAATAGCCCGAAGTTGAGGTTATCCAGTCCAAGCACAACCTGCAGCCACATACATACATGAAGTACGTGTATGTATGTGTAGGCAGGTAAGGTAGGCATGTACATGTGTATGTAAGTAGGTACGCAGACAGGTTAAAATTTCCCATCTCTCATAAACCACAGAGATGTTCGATTCCCGCTTTTAGTGCTACCGTAGTACTCATGCGTACCGACTGGTCGAACACGACGATAAATAGGTTCAGAGGCACATTCTTGGAGGCATGATTTCTTGGCCTCATACTTCTTATTACGTGACGACGTCAGATTGGTAGTTGGGATGGTCCTCGACCTTCTTGACACAGTTTCCTCCAACTGAGCAATCTATGTACCCTCAAGGAGTCGAAGCCGCATCGAGATGGCACTATGTGGGAGTTGGTGCAGGTCGTCCCAGGGAATCGAGAGTCGGGATATCTCGTGATGATTGCCCGCTATGACGAACATTCTTCAATATGACAAGGTTGTGGTCGTTATGTAGTACGAGAGCCACAGATCCATAGACTTACAACCACATCCACGTTCGCATCCACATCCTCGAGTTCATCCATCAATATAGTACATGGAGACTTGCCTTGTCTCTCGTCATCTCCAAGAAATAGGTTGCACATAGCTATAATTTTTTGATTAATCTTCGGCCATTCATCTGGATTTGCACGGTAATGAACTGCACACCTCGGATTATCATTATAGCTTACACATGACAATGCGCGAAGCGGTCTGCCGCCTATCAGGTGCAGTAGCCCCGCAGCCTTACTTACTCTTAGTCTGACTTCAATAAATCCATCTTCCTCCAATAGCCAATCTAAATCACCCCAGACTATCTCGTAAATTAACAGGACACAAGTCTATAGCAAACCATGTTCACGAGCAATTATTGCTGCCACCCAGAATGTCAGCTGAGGAGCTATAGACAATTACCAGACAATCTCTACGTAAATGACCTCTTCCACAGTACTGGGTATGTCTTACGAAGAAAAACCCTCAAGTCCGAATGAAAATCCCACCCTAAGGTCGACGAAGACGTCAAACCGAGGATCGCGGGTTACAAGCGAGGGGACCACCTGTCACAGTAATGTAAGTTCTGGTTCGCTCGTTTATTCCTCGAATTCAGGTCTGCCCAACTGTAAAGTAACCCACATGAGGGCCTTGTATGGTCTCTTGTTATCCGCCGTAATTGTCCCCGCCACGCCAGCGGCCTCCCCAATATGCGCGAACCCCCTACGATCGAAATACTATACATTACCACCTAAGAAAGGGGAAGGATAACATAGGGCAGGACGAGGCGAATCCACGTTACAAGCGTAACATGACAATAGCCCGTCCACGGCCATTTACTAACCTACGTACATGGAGATAATTAGGCTGCTAGGTTAAGTGACAGATTGACGGTTAGGCTAGTTACCTGAACTACCTGGCCCGGCCATGGCACCTAAGATACCTAGGTATCTAGGGTATACGATCGAGGGGTAGGTGGACTGCAGATCTTTTGACAAGCTACCTAGTCGCTTGCTAGGGAAGAGATCTGCTTGGTAATGGACTTCTAAACATCATTATCCGAGACAGAACGTCGCATAGGTACTGAAGAACTTGGAGCCGTCACATTACCTCCATGAAACGGGTTACATACAGTAAGCAACCACGACCATGCCAAGACTTATAAAGCTTGTTGAGTATGACTGAACGTATCGGATGCATTTTCGAAGAATTCGAGATAACCAGTCGGAAAGAATGTCTAGAATGATGTGGAAGTTGTTGGCTTTCGTAGGTATGGAATTTCAAAGGCTCCGTCTTAGTTCGGAGTGAGAAGAGGAAGCGATTTAATCTTACAGCACTAAAGAATTAAATTCAGTTGAGTGTTCTTTTTTCTCTCTCTTTTCTAAAAGTTGAATCTCTAAATAGCTTACCTAACCCCCACCTAGATACCTATAGATACTTACAGAATGGTAGGCTTAGTTATACGACGCAAGTACTGTAAGGGTACCTTGCGTGGTGGATCAAGTCTACTAAGAAACAGCCCTGGAGCCTTAAAATAATCGACTTTCAGCGCATCCCTACCTAACTTCGCTGTGGCTTTGCACTCCTCTGAAACTTCTAAAGTCCCCGCTTCGAAATCCTTGATAACGACCTTTTCTTTCTTTTTTCCTTTCAGGGGTGAACTAATTGGAATAGTAAATCGACACATGTATTGGTGGAATGATGAAATGGCATAGGCTACCTAGGTAAGTCCACCTACGTAATTAACTTCCGGGCGGGTGAAAGCATTTCCCGTGTATCTTTACGTGCAATTTTTTCCTGATTTTGTTGGTGTTACTTAGGTGCGGACAATTTTACCTACCTAGGCGTTGTAGACATCAACCTGGGTGCCTAGGTAGAGGGTATGAGGAAAATCATCTTCCGATAATAGCGATTTGAGGAAAAAAAAGAGATGGGGGACAAAAAGGAAAAAAAGTCACCGATCGAAATCCTTTCGCAATAGTTTAGGCTTGTAGATTCTAATGTTAGCACCGAATGGACGGCTTCACCGTTACTTACCATACCTAGTACCCAGTCCCTCTATCTCTATCTAATGTACCTAGGTATGATGAAGCACGTCAAGTAACGTATCCCCCACTGGGACTTGTACATCGGACCACTCCATTGGAACTGAGTATTGAACGTACCTATATGCGTACATGTATGTTCTACTACATACTATAGCCTGTCTGCCCTGTATGTATCATTTTTCTCCGAAATACACAATGAAACAACACAGGGCCCCTTCTATCTAACTAAGAATAAGTTGAGCCGAAAAGAAACCAGGACAAAATAATTAGTTATTCTGGAGAAAAATGAGCTAACTAGAAAGTAAGTAAAAAAAGAGGGACTTACATGCCCACGAGCCAAGGAACAAAATCGAACGATTTGATTTTCAATTTCTCGCGCATTTCCGTGGTTAGCTTGTGCTTGTTATTCCTATTTCTCATCTACATCCCACTTCCATTACCTCACATATCTACGGACATACCTCACCCTACAGGACTATCCGAAGTCCATCCCACGAGCCTACCGAGGTCTTACCTTTCTAGCACCCTGTCCGATTCAGTGACACAAGCAAAGAAGAAGAACAAGACTACTGCGCATAGTGTGCAGATTTCAAGCCACTCCCCCTCGTCATCCCTCTTAGTATGCTGCAGATTGTTAAACGAAAGCCCTTTAATAACCGAGCTGACCTGACGGCTACTCCATTGGATGTAAAACTTACCTAGGCATTTAATTGATCTCGGCTCCCTTTTCGGTGTTTTCTTATAGATAAGAAGAAAAGAAAAAAATAAAAGTCGGAAGCAGGACAATAGAAGGCAGCGATACGAGAATACCTACATAACAAAGATAGATTATAATAGATAGAAAGACGTATAGATAGCAGGTACTAAGTAAATTAGTAAATAATTCTTCTTTTCCCCCTTCGCCCCCGGACTCAACTAAAGGTATTCTAGGCCTGAAGTCGTTAGGACTCGCCGTTCGGTCTACATGTACACCCCTACCACCCCTGTTCCTACAGTAGGTTATGTAGTCTAAAGATTGAAAATGTTCAAATCAATGTTCGCAACAAACTAAAAAACTAAAACTACAAGGTAAAAAATAAAGTAGTAAAGTACGTAGTCAAGTACCTAGGTACCTACCATGATGTGCTCCTACCCCCCGGCCCCTTCTCTCTTTTGCATGCATTAGAAGCTTACAGGGGTATACCCCTAACCCCTGTCGCCGTTCTTCTGCTTGACGCCCCTCTCCATCCAGTGTCCACTTGCCCACTACCCACTGCCCACTGACACTACCTAGGGTAGGTACCTAGGGTAAAGTACAACGAAGGTACTCCCGCTGATCTTGAAGGTTGAGGAGGACCCACTCCTACTTGCCCAAGTGCTCATTCGCTCCCCTCGATCTCGCACATCCATCTCAACTAACCTTGTCAACCTACACTACCTTGTCTCTCTACCTCGTCTACTTCGTCTACCTTGTCTACCTTGTCTTGCCTGGCCTTTGTTGTAGCAAATGGTCGAGCTTAGATTCCCCGTCATTTCTTCTTCTTTCCAACGCTCCTCCTGCTGTCTGTCTCGCTCTATGTAGTCTGCTGCCCGGCGCGCAACCCCCAAACTCCCCAAGCCGGGCCCACCCTTGTCCAATACCCATGCTCCCCTTTGTCTTTCGTCTTTCTCTCGCTCGCTCTCTTGTGTCTGCTGTTTGGCCTTGCTGCAACTGCTACATGCACATTATCGCCTCCCTCGACTAGGGGTCGGCCATGGAGGGTATCCCCTTGTTGTCAGTGTACCTCTGGAGAGTGGGTGGGGAGTACATACAACAACTCGACAGACACCCTGCTCTACATGTATGAACGGTAGTGTGTGCTCATTCATATAGAAGAGACCATCTCGACTTATATCTACTTGTCCCATTCGCTCCACCCCCATCGAACCTGTTTACTTCTTCCCATGCAGTATCAATATCCTCTTGCTTGGTGATCCATCTTTTTCCATATTAACACCTATTTACCCACGCCAGTCAACTTCCTCTTTCTTAATAGACAAGACCTTCTATACTGTGTTCGAGACCAGAGCCCAGACCGTTGTCGTCCCGATTTGCCTTATGTGCCCTTGCTAGAACGAAAATTTGTATATCACGCTTTCGTTATATTGCATAACCTAACATGACAGTCTCACTTCCGCCACAGTCCAATTCATCCAAGGACGCCCAGACAGCTCGTAAGAGGAGAAGAAGGGCCCCTGCTGGAGGAGCTGCCGATGACTGCTTTACATGCATCAAGAGGAACACTAAATGCGATAGGCGGCGACCCTACTGCTCGCAATGTCTCGAAATTGGGAATGAATGCTCCGGTTATAAGACTCAACTGACCTGGGGAGTCGGTGTGGCGAGCCGCGGGAAGCTAAGAGGACTATCACTCCCTATTGCGAAAGCACCACCAGTTGCACCTGTGGGGAAGAAGGCAGCAAGCCGGGCGCGAGCAAACACCGCAGCAGCTTCAACCCAGTGGAACGGCTCAGAAGAGGGGCCTCAAAGAGTTCACCGAGTCGATGTCGATATAAGCAGAGACCATACAGCCTCAGTTCCCGCGACTCCCTACGGAAGCTATCCAGAATACCCAAGGTTTCCACATGGCGAGACACCAACATCAGCCCCCCAAAGACCTTGGGGAGGCCTTCCAGCATATGCCGGCAACATGAGCGCCCATGACCAGTCCAGATTCCAGAAGCTGAGCGGTTCAATGGGCCATTTCCCTCTAATGGGTGAATCGCTATCGTCATCCGTAGACTCACTCAGCGACGTTGACTACACCATATCCCCTGTGGGGCAGTCTTATTCCAGAGAAGAGATCCCTTTCGTTCACAGCCCGACCCTAATGTACGATAACTATACGAGCCAGAATTCGCCTGTTCCTCAGAGCCCGGCCTCTGCGATAATGATCGACCAACGAGCTCCGACTTCATGTCCCAGCCTAGTCTACGCGCCATCGGAGCCGAGTAGCCTCAGCTCTCACCCGGAATCCTTTGAGCCCCAGATGGCTCATAGGCTGGTCGCGGATAGCGATTCTCTAAGTAAGGATCAAGCGTTCCGAAAAGCCACGGCTCGGCTCACTGACAACTCCTCGCAGGCGTCCCTGAGATGGAGCCCTACAGCACGAGCCCACATTCCGCCGGGGGTTCCCACTGGGCCTCAGCAATTTCGAGGGATGATGATGTAAACCCCCATACCGCGGAACCAAACTCAGCTGGTGTAGCTCTACCGTACGAGAGTCAGTCGATACAGGTTAGCCCCGATCTCATCGCCAAGATGCCATTCTTCATGGACTATTACGAGAATATTATGTGTCAATCCATGGTTCTTGTAGATGGCCCCAACAATCCGTACCGAGATCATATCTTGCGCTTGGCATCGGGTAGTCGAAGTCTGCAACATGCTATCTGCGCCCTATCGGCCTGCAACCTGAGGATGAAGAGAAGGCTAAGCCTTGGTCAACGCGCTAGGGACCCGGAAACTAACAGCTCTGAACGGCTCTCCGATGTGCAGTCGGACCATCATTCCTTATCGGAAGAACATCAACATCGCAACTTAGCTGTTCACCTCCTGAATCAACAACTAAACGACCCCTCAAAATCATGCCATGATTCCGTTTTGGCTACTATCCTACTTCTCTGCCACTACCGCATGGTTGAGTCTGGAGTTGCGAAATTCCATACACAATTTGCTGGAGTGAAGAAGATATTGAGTATGCGAGGTTCAGCCCCCTATCAAGGGTCGAGTGAGTCTTCTTGGATGGAGGCTATATTCACCTACTTCGACTCCATTTCAGCGAGCATCAACGATCGCGAGGCGCAGCTTAACCACACATTCTATGGACTTCCGCCAGACGCTAATCTACTACCACCGGGGGCCGAGAACCTAGTTGGCTGTGATAGAGAGCTTTTCAAGACGATTAGCAAGCTTGGCCGTCTTAACCTCTTATCGCAGCACTTGCCTGTCCAAAATGTTCTTACTACGCCGACCGGGCGCGTTGGAACACCATCGGCCACTTCTCCTATTGGCTCCCCGCTAGGCCATTCATTCAAGCACCCAGGTCCATCAATCGGCGATTTCTTCAGCATAAATCACCACCGCTATGATGGCAACGGGTTTGCTTCGCAACTTGACGATGAAGAGATTTTAGCTACGGGGCTCTGTTCCTCACCACAATACGATGAACACCGCTCAACCTTCTGGCGCGAGTGGAGGGATGCACGCATGGCTCTTCAGAATTGGGAATTCGACCCTCAACGAGTGGCTGCTTCCCTACCCAACTCAGCGACACAATCCCAAATTCGCGACCTACATTCGCTCTCCGAGGCCTTCCGCTATGCAGCTCTCCTCTACACCGAGCGTTTGGCTTCGCCCAATGTGCCTTCAAGCAATAACAACTTCCGTAATCTAGTCAGCCAGGTTGTTTACTACGCCACCTCACTTGAGGCTGGTAGCAGCGCTGAGAAGTTCTTGCTCTGGCCGCTTTTCGTCGCAGGCAGCGAATGTGTTAATGAGCTCCAACAGAACATTATACGCAACAAGGTTCGCGAAATCATGTCCCGTTCTGGTTACATGAACAACCTAGCGGCAATCGAGGTTCTGGAGCGGCTCTGGGCTGGCGAATATTACGAACCCCCTGCAACTCCTGGGGGCAAGCTAGGCTTGAGGCGCGGTTGTTTCAACTGGACCAAGTGCATTGGCGGTCCTGGAGTTGAAGTAGAGTGGATTATGTTTTGAACATAACACCATCACTGATATGCACATATTCTATAAAAGGAGTAACAAGTGTGAATATGATGGAACTGGAATACATAGGGATCATAGAGGTTTATACCCTTTTCTACCCCTTTCACTTCTACTATATATTTTTAGCTCACCCATTTTTGTCGAGTTTTGGATGCTTTTTTCTTTTTATATATTTCCCCCTCTTGTCACAATTGTACTATTATATACACCGCATGTTGATATCCCCCCTGGCTTATGGTTTTACGGCGGATACGAATGAGAACTGGTTACGGATTTTTGCTTTGAATATTGGGATGACTCTATCAGATAAGGGGAAATGTCGGCTAGGATAATCGTTTAGAGGCGAACTTGGAGATGTAAGAAGGGTTTTACGATTTTCAGTTGTGGTTGTAGGAACTAGCTAGCTACGAAGTAGCATATGACATTGCACGCCAGATATGAAGAGAGACATACATAGCGAATGACGAGACATGCAGAAAAGAAGAACAGAGCACATTTCCCATAATTAACACGGTTCGTTACTTTGGTCTCGTGATTTCTAACATACACCCGCGGCGTATCCCTTTACACTACACCCTCACCGGGTTTGGGGGTGCATGTGAGCAACTGTCAGCACGCAAAGGAGATCTCCCGACGGCCGACGTCACGCCAATAGCGCCTCATACTGCCCCCCGTACGGTAGACGTACTAGGCTTAGCACCTTTAGTAATGGCATATCGAGCTATACGATATAGAGACTAGACTAGAGGTCGTTACCATACACATCACACACACCTTGAACCATACGCCTCCACCATCACCCAATAACCGCTGGGTCAAGCGAGCGGGAAGGAATCAAGTCCACTCCCCCCTTCTCTATACTATAGAACATAGTTCTTACTCCCGCCCTCCATCGTTAGTAAATACCGTTCCGTAATGGAGGGAGGTATGTTAGGTAGTAGGTTTGCTAGGCACAGCCACATCTACATCTACATCTACTATTCACCAAGGTTCATTACCGTCCATCGACCGGTAGATAACCTACCCGGCCTATGCCTTGCCTCATAATAGCTAGCTGGATGATACCCCAACTAGAACAAGCGAATGCGAAAATTTGGGGGTGCTAGTTGGAGAACTCCCCCCTTGAAGCAAACCTAGGGGATCGAACCATCAACATAAATCTATGGCCTAGCTCCAAATTGCGATATCAACCTAATGATTTCTATAGACATTTCTAGATACCTGAATAGTTATAGTTATAAGTATACGTACGTCACAGGAAGTTCGTAACGGGCAACTTGTAATCGAAAATCGTGTCTTTCTAAACCTTCCTACCTTCTTCGTTTCCTACCTACCTCCGCCTCGTTCGTGTTGAGTTCGTTGGAAAAACCCCCACCCCCCACACTCTTGTATCCTAAATAGGGAGGAAGAAAGAAGGAAAGGAAGAACTATTGCCAACAATCCAGCCCGGTCCAGCCCCCTGCGTTTTTTTTTTTTTTCTGCTGGTGTAATAAGAAAAGTCCCTCCCTTCTACCTAACCTTCTTGGCTTACATCCCGTCGCGCACGCAAGATTTCAGGGTCCCCGAGGGACCAAAAACAATTTCGTTACGTACGTAATAAGATTTGGGGAAGCGGGATGAAATGTATGAGGAGAATTAAGCGATGAGGGACAGCATGAAGAAAAACGAGGGATGAAAGGGGGCAGAAAGTTACCAGAAGGTACCGAAGCTGACATCTTGTTGCATGATGCGCCCTATCGACCTACTTAGACCTGCTAATCTAATCTATCCAGCTACTGTAGTTAGCTAGGCAGCTGTCAGTGATAGCCTAAGCCAAGAAGTTGCACCACATAATTTACGTACATATATATACATATACATATCTCATACAATACTTACAAAGATGCAAAGTACCTAGTTAATGTTGAGTAGGTAGATAGGCCCTGGGAGGTTTTGTACATATCTCAATGGCCTGTTTTTTCATCTTTTTACTTTCTCTTTTCTCCTTAGCTGCTTTCCTGTCTCCCTCCTTCGGAATGGATCGAGTTCGACGGCAAGGGCAGAAGTTTGGTTCACCCACTCACCTTTCGTCCCACTACTCCCTAAGCCGGCCGGCAACCACCACACCCGACATCTAGAATGATCGTCGCTGCACAGCTTAGCTGTACGGTTAGGTAGGTAGATATGCCAGATACCTACCTGTCTAGGTACCTTTGTAGAGATGCCATTCTCACCTTTCGCCGGTCACCGTTGCTCGGTATGTCATTGAAAAAAAGAGGGCCCCACCAGAGGATGGGTGGCGGATCTACTGTAGCTATAACACTAGCTACGGTAGATACTCGCAAGCTCGCATATTCCCCTTTGGTTCACCCACTGATTTACCGCATATGGTCGGCCTTTTTTGACAGCTTTTTTTCTCTCATTCACTTACTGAGCTGCGAGGAAGGTCGTCTGACCAACACACCGAGCAGCCTTCCCGGCAACCCGAGCCTGCTGGTTGGCGAATTTGGCCTCAGCTCTTGCTGCTAGGAAATTACTGTTGACAGCACGAACTGCAAGGGAGAACATCCGGCGCGCTCCGGAAGAGGGGAAATCTAGATGTGATTGTCATAGTATGTAGATCGTATGGCGAACATAGACCTATTCTTCTGGCAGGGGGGGGTCAACCGAACCAGACCTCTCTGCTACGGTCCACTAGGTCGATCAATTGAGAAACCAGTTCATAAGCTTTAGGACTAATTCATTGGCCGTGACCTACTCCGGTATCCGAGATCTTCCGCCGGCGCGACATCGACATTGAGCAAGGCTCTAAAGCTAGAGGAGCCACCTTCGCTGGCGCTTCGATGATGTGAGTATGTAGGTAGATGGACAGACATCCCGCGCAGGTAGGATGCGTAGTATGCAAACGTACGGCGATGATAGGGTAGCGATGGTGTTGGGCGCCCCCCCCAATAATTGATTTTAGCTTCTTCTTCGCGGGTTCTAGTAGCGAACGCCAGATCTACTAGCCAGGGGCCCATTTTGGGGGAGTAGTTCCGTGATTCGAGACTCAGGTCGAGAGAAGGGAGTGTTCGGGGATCATTCCTCATCTATAACTAACTTGCGCCCTGTTATGCGACTCTACGCGCATCAGGCCGGCCATTGCGTCAATGTCGCGGGCTTGGCCGCATCGGCGGGTTCCAGAAGCTCACATGGCTGCCGATTGGTGGTGGCCGGGCCCTGCCTAGTATTCCTCTCGGATCACGAAAGCCTACTGGACCAGGGGGGGGAGTTCGGCGATCGATCAGAGGGTGTTGGGGGTGGGGTATAAACTACCTAGTAGTTGAGAAGTGTTTTATTGAAGTAACTTAAGCGTTGACAACACGGCAAGGAACTGGAGATTCTCGTATCCGTGTGGTGAAGAGCCGTACCCATTATGCAAGTATCGTAACATGGTTAGGGGTGTGGGATCTTTGGAATCATCTCGGGACTTGAGAATTCGGTTACAATTCCTCGTAGAGAGATGCAACATCGTGTCTCAGCGAACAAGATAGCGCGCATTGACCCTCCAATTTCATTTTCTCGTGATTGGAGTTTTAAGTCGACTAGAGATAGGAAAGATTCTAGAAAGCGGGCCATGTCGCCATGTCAAGCTCATAGGCGCCTTTGATAAATAGGTACTTACGCAAGACTTCCCCAGCTCGTACGGCAGATGTTCGTAACAAGGTCCAACTACGACCTATTCATAAACGCCAAGACCGGCAGGCATACGTCGGGTTTGCCAAGATATCGCCGCGAAAGGCTTTCCTTTCTTTGCCTCGTACCGACTCACCCTAGGAAGAGGAAATGGAAATGGCTGGTAGTCTATTCGTTCCCGAAATGTTGGCGAAATTCCAACAGAATGGTAGAATAATGCGAAAGAAGATTCTAAGATTCTAAGATTCACCATTTGGGGCACTTGTCTCGATTGATTTGGAGAAATGAAAATGCCAAGACACTAAGACATATTACACGTGAAGATAAGAGGAGATAAGATAGGTAGAGTTCAAATTCTTATCGTTAGGTGAAGCAAGAAATTTTAGCGGGTCTTGAATAATTTACACTGTTAAAAGTTGTATACAGAAAGAATCTGAAAGTCAAGAATTGAGGCACATTGCGATCTTGAAAACGTCAAACTTACACAGAAGATAAACAGAACAAACCCTAATCAATTACAGGGAAGTCCGACGAGAAAATGGGTCGGGAACTCCAAAAGCGCAAGCGGCGCTCCTCTCGCCCCGCCATTCGACAACCTTCATCGTCGATGAAAACGAAGCGCTTGTTGAACCCGCGAGGAAATGATCTTGTGGCTAAGAACTGGTAGGCCTTTTATTCATAAGTTTTTGCACGCTAGGAACGGAATATATGCTAAATAGAATTGGCACCACAGGAACAAAACCGAAACTACATCACAAAACTATCGCCGTCTGGGCCTCGTAGCCCGCCTGAAAGCCCCGACCGGTGGTATAGAGCCTACAGCAGCTTCGCGACAACAGAAGAGCCGACCGACAAAACCTGCCGACCCATTCGCTATCGCCCAACCCACAGGTGCCGTATTTAGCGAAGCACGTGTCGAGCGGGACGAGAATGGACGTATTATTCGTGTGCTAGATGGATTTTCGAAGAGAAGAGATAATCCACTAAACGATCCTCTCAATGATCTTGAATCTGGTTCTGACGAAGACGAAGAAGATGAAGAGGAGGCCGAAGAATGGGGTGGTATCGAAGAGACAGGTGCTGACACTGGAATTTTCTCACAACTTGAGTCTGAAGCCAACCGGCCTGTAATCAAGAAAGTGCGGACTCAGAGCAAGAGGGAAATTGAGTGGTTACAAGGTCTCGTGGACAAATACGGTGATGATACAAAAGCTATGGCAAGAGACCGCAAGTTAAATCCTATGCAACAGACCGAGGCCGATATTTCGAAGAGGATACGGAAGTGGAAAGGCACTTCGGCTTAAGAAGGAGAAAGGGGGCTCCTTGGGGTGGTGGTAGGTTTTGACACAAAAGTGCATTGCAAGGCGTTATGGATTCTAGTATTTTGCTAGCTACGAAGCTAGGTTTACGTACTACTCGGCATATACATTCTTGAAGAACATTAGCTTTAGTTCTCACATTGTTGTGTCGTCTATTTTGAATCTAAATGCATAATAGTTCATCAGTGTCTCGAAAACAGGTCAAAACTCCTCAATAATACGTTAGACCATAATGTCCATATACAATCTCCAATGCAGGAGATATTTGCATGCCATAAACTAGAAACAGAATACACAATCGCAATAATCGCCGGGCACTATCCTGGTATCTCTCAGTGCCATAAAAGAGCATAAGTTTATCCGGAACACCGATATCACCGTCGTGAAGTAAGATTTTTATACTGGCCCGCCAACACATTTCACTCTGCTTTCCGAACGATCTTCTTTCCACGCACGTGCTCACTCATTCACTCCTTCTTTCATATATATGCCTTTGTAGGTCGGATCAAAAACTCTCAAGCTGCTCTTTCTCTTGCTATCGTTCCATCCATCACCTTTCTAGCAAACCGAAAAATGAAAGCAAGTAACCTCCATTACGCAATACGCCAAATACCAGGGAAAACAAGACGACGGAAATGCTTTATTTGTATCAGTGCAGCGTGCGGTCGTAATTTGCACTTGGGAATTGCACGGGTCTGTCGTCGTCGTAGTCTTCTGCGGCGGGCGGGGCGTAGATATGCGGACGCGAGCTTTGCGAGGCATACGGGTCGCCGTAGGGGTCAGCGGTAAGTGCTGGGGAGTGGCTATGCGTGCGGTATGCGTTGTCGAATGGGTTCTCGTGCGGCGGTGGGGATGTGCTGTGTGGCCTGTACGCAGTATCGTCGCCAAATCGGCTTCCACCGTACGAATCGGGGTCATAAGGCCCCTCGTTGACGTGGTGATCGTCGTGGTGATCATCCATTTGCACCGGTGCGTACGCTTCTTCGTCGTGAGGCGCCATCGAGAAGGCGGCCTTATCGGGATCGATGTTCTCGTTACCGCCTAGGTTCTCGTAGCCGGGGAGCGTATCGGTGCGTTGGTAGTACCGTAGTGTGTACACGCTGACAGCTGTTGTGGCCGCCCAGGCGAGGCTATTTGGAGTGTTAGTGGGACTTATGATATCACAAGATTGGTCCGGTTCTTACGTTTCAAAGAAGGCGATTCCGACAATGGCCTTGCTCACAGCACAGCCTTGTCCGCATGAGTTGGCGGTATTGTATGCTGCTTGGCTAGCAAAACCAGATAGCCAGAATATGGTGAATACGGTATCGACGACGACCATCGCATGTGGTTGGGCGATCTTTCTCGTTCGTTCGAATCGCGGTGACATAGCTAGGTAAATCCATGCTGGGATAGATAAGAAACACTGTTATGAAGTTGCCATGTTAGTTACCGCTAGACTTATCAAGGGGGGATTTTGACGTACCAAACCAAACGGCCACCCATTGTTACCGTTAATTTTCGAGTCGTCGGCTCTAAATAATACGATTTCGAGGATAAATATTACGACAGCCAGTACACCTTGAAAGATGTGTAGACCAAGTTTGGTGTTGGGCACCTTGTTGGCATCGACGTCTAGTTTCTCGAACAATGCCATTCTTAACTGTTACACTAGAGAAGCTGTTGGTGGACTCGAAGTTAATAATGACGATGCTGGAGAAAAAGAGGTTTACGCTGGCAAAGTTACTAACCGCCTGGGATTGAATTTACCTGAATAGTGCGACAGCTGTGCGGAAACAGCCAAGCAGGCTGCGTGGAAAATTTAGGGGCGGTCTTGCGGCTGACGATGTTTAGACGCAACTATGACAGGGCTGCAAAGTTTCAACTTGGGGTATATCCCTGTTCGGATGAGATGTTCGCGACAAGACTTCAAGAGTCGTTACTTTTATTGGTCGTCGATGATTATTCAAATTCTATTCAACGAGAAAATAAGAAGACTAAGAAAGTCAATTGCGTCTTAACATAGAGATATGGATATGAATGTTTTTGTGTTTTTGGTTTTTGCATAACTCGTAGGAAGGGTTACGTACTAGCTGACATCCAAATGACCCTCGGGGCTGATTTCAGTATCGATTGCGCGTAATGTCATTGGAGAGGACCCAGGATAGCGTTCTATTTTAAGCTGAGCCACAGTTGACTGGGGAACCGGACTATGCTATTCATTTTTATTCAGTGCGAATATCGCAGCTTGTCAACCCATTAGCGCAAAAACACTGCCATTGGCGCCACTTAGGCTTGTGTAATACAGCGTACTAAGCCACTATCTTCCCGCCAGACCTTGCTAATTAGCGTCTTCGCAACAGGCCAGTGGGCGGCTGAAGAAACTAAACCCAGTCAATGCAGATACGCCGTCATGTTTTGTCAGAAACTTGTCCAATCTCAGACCACCTTGTGATAAGACGAGTTGGATACTTCATTTATTCATTCCGCAACAACCGCAAGAAACGATGGAGTACTATGATGATACTTAATAGTACTTACAGGCTCTAAAATGCATATAAAATCCCTCAGTGTGTCCTCAAAAGAAATCATGGTTACCATGCTTGGTTTGTCTCAGTCTACCCGAATACCATCGCCCTTGTTCCCGCTTTCAGTCGTGGACATAAGCCACTTACATGCAAAGCCTTCACTCAGATGACCGAACATTCCCTCATATTCCATGCGTTATCATGAGCACAGTTTATGGATACTCGGCACCTACAATACACGTGGGCTACCTCATTGTGTACTGCCACCTTCGTATACACTTTGGCCCTTGTGAAATATGACGTCAGTTGGAATATCTCACAGCCAGTATAGCGATTCCTTCCGTATAGACTATTTGGGTCGCTGTTTCCCCATGTTTGACCCGCTACTGCCCCGAACCGAAACCAACAACTTTCGACGGGGCAGCACCGGACTTGCCAAAATGCAGAACCGGAGACTCGGACATCTAAAAGTTTATTATAACCCCGGAAGGTAATGAAATTCTTAGTGAGTTCGGAAAATGCATCTATCATTGCTTCCTAGGTCCACACCTAGGAAATCTCGCCACTGTCTGGAGAAATTAATTGTCCGAGTTTTAGTTTCTTTGCTTACCTAGGTAACTAAAGAAATGTTTCGAATGTCTATTCTCAAAGACTCTTATACAAAGTTTTGAGGATTGTATACACTTGTATAATTAAAGAAGCTTAATGAAAAGGCGCACACTTACCTCTAGGCACTTGCCGAAAATCGGATTAGGTATCCTAATAAGTGGTTAGCGTGCCGTCACCCCTCAGCTTAACCCCGGAATAAGAAATCGTCATTTTTAAACCCGTGTCAGATTTCGCTATCTGCATTTTTTGAGTGCTAAATAAGAATCTCACCGTCTTTTTTCTCACTATTTTACCTTCGTCTCACTAGTGATAAGAGCATTCGTATAAATGAGGATTGTTGACGACTTCGCAGGAGTAAGCATTGCTGGTATGACGTCTGAGAATATTTCCGCTGAGTCTGACTCGCCAGTCCCAGCGAACGGGAGCTCACGCGAGCAGAGCGATGAAACAACACCGCTGTTAAATGATCAGAATAAACCCGTTGTTTTGAGTGAGGAGGCCCCGTCGATTCGCAATGACGATGAGCAAGTTGTTATCGTTGAGGAGGTGAAAGGGTTCAAATTATGGCTTATTCTCTTCACTTGTTGGATTGGTGTGTTCCTCGGCGCTATCGACTCGACTATTATCGCCACATTATCGGCACCTATCGCTAGCGAGTTCCATTCCCTCAGCCTGCTATCATGGCTTGCGACTGCTTATTTAATATCGAATGCCGCATGCCAGCCCATTTCCGGGAGGCTGACGGATATCTTTGGACGAGGACCCGGTCTTGTATTCAGTAATGTTTTCTTTGCTGCGGGGAACCTCATTTGCGGCCTCGCACAGGACGTGGATGCCATGATCCTGGGACGAGTCGTCGCTGGCATTGGAGGTGGCGGGCTTATGTCCATTAGTACCTTCGTAGGTACCGATCTCGTCCCCCTGCGAAATCGAGGGGTTATCCAGGGGATTGGAAATATCTGCTACGGACTTGGAGCAATGCTTGGTGGTGTCTTCGGTGGTCTAATCAACGACAACTCTTCTTGGGGGTGGCGATTGGCATTCCTAGTTCAAGTACCTCCAATTTTGGTTTCTGCTGTCCTCGCCGCTTATCTCATTCGGATACCGCCCAAAGTTTCCGAGAAATCGTACCTAGCTCGCATAGACTTCACCGGCTCTTTCTCGCTCATTGTATTCCTCGTACTTCTCCTACTTGGTCTTAATTCGGGGGGCAACATAGTACCGTGGATTCACCCTCTACCGCTGACCACACTACCGCTATCGTTAGCGGCATTTATTGCTTTCATTATCTGGGAGTCCCGCGCCAAGCAACCAGTCATCCCAGTGCGTTTGCTATTGGACCGAACAGTGTTCGCGGCTTGTATGACAAACTTGCTTTGCTGCATGGTAAACATTATAGCCCTATATTACGTCCCCGTTTACATGCAGTCGCGTGGCAGTTCCGCTACGGACTCTGGGTCGGTAATCGCGGTCGCATCGATCGGTATCTGTTTTAGCTCAGTCGGCAGTGGACTTGTGATGAGGAAAACCGGACGTTATGGTAAGCCCCCGCTCCGGAAACTCGAAGCTCCGACCTCTTGACCGCATATACTAACTATAAAGCAGTAAGTGGTTAATACCTATTCCATAAACTCGACCTTATTGCGAGTTATTGCCTTTTTGGGACAGCTGCACATTGAACAACTCAGAGAGTCGTTCCGCCTTTCCAAATCGAGTCATCTACAGTAAGCAATACCCAAGGATTGCAGGAGACTAACCCTAGAGTAGGTGACCCTTGGTGTTTTTGCCGTGTCGCTCCAACTCGCCTCTTCCATCATTCTCACGACCGCCAACGAAAACACTCCGAAGTGGCCTCTTATGATCGCATTCCTGCTGCTCAGTTCAGGCCAAGGCGCTATGCTTACTGTCACTCTCTTGGCATGTTTAGCAGCCGTGGACCACTCTCATCAGGCAACGGTTACATCTGCGACATACGCATTTCGGTCTGTCGGCGGAACGGTGGGTCTCACGATCGCATCGGCTATTTATCAGAACGTGCTCAAGACTGAGCTATGGGAGAGGTTTGGCGACCTCCCCGGCGCCGCGGATGAGATCCACAGAATTCGAGACGACCTGGACGAATTGAAGCATCTCCCCGGTGGTTGGTATGATGGTGTCATCGCCTCTTTCATGGAAGCTTTTAGGAGCGTGTGGTTTGCGATGGTCGGCTTGTCGCTTCTAGCGCTCATCAGCGTCTCCTTGATGAAGCAACACAAGCTACACTCGACTTTGGCTCGCAATGAAAGGGACTAACGTATTGGATATCTAGAGGTATATGCTCCCACCCTAAGTACCTAGGTACCTAGGTATGTATGTCGGTGGCAGCTGTCTTTGTATTGATGTATAGCGAGGCGAGACGGTGGGAAGTGAGTAGATATCAACACTGATGTTACACATAGCGGGAGTTTCAACAATTTAAAAATTAGACTGGTACTAAATTCAGGTAAAAGGGAAAAATACATGAAAACATCATGGAAAACAATATGCGTTTCCTCCGATTATACCACGACTACTCGTCGTTTCTCCCTTATATTCAACCCTTTGAGTCAGATCTTATTGAGTCCTCATATTGCCTCCTCTGTCGACACCCTATCCCCCCTTCCACCCGATGTTCGCAGAACAAGCCTGTAACATAATTATCGGGGAGTTCAAGGAGAGTTGTTCATTCAGACTATCGATTCGCAATATCACATGCCGCTATCGGAGTCTGGCAGGTTCGAGAGGAAAGTGACGAGCACAGCAAAGAAAGCAGTAATGCCAACGAGCAAATGTGCAGTGCGATTCTCGAAGGTCGCCATAACGATAGAAAAGCACACCGAAGAAGCAGCGGTAATAGCGAGTTTCTGGCCGCGTGACAACTGAGATAAAGGGGAGAGTTAGTGATTTACGCTTTCGAGCAAGGAATTTGGGGGAAGGGAGCGATCAAACGGGTATGGGATAACACGTACATCAATCCTAAGGTATAGTACCGACACTGGTATGATCAATAAAGCGAGGTTGCCTAATACGAGGAAGGTCTTGACGAATAGTTTTACGGGCCGTAGGCTGTAGGTCGGCCGTACACCATCCGCCGAAGAGGTGGGCGAAGACTTGTTACGACCTATGCAGCAGATATGCCTCAGGATGTTCTGTTTAATGATATATCTTGTTATTATATGTGGCCACAAATACGAGGTATAAGGATAAGGGGTCAATTGTGCGCACCTGGACCCATCGCGAGTTCGTATAGAATAGTGTCTCGAAACGCTGAAATACGTAATCCGGCTCGAAATTGAGGAAATCGTCTATATAACGCATGAAGGCACGTGCTTTATTATCCAAATGTTCGAAGATTTGCGCATCGTTGAAATGAGCCTCTTGCACACGTCGAGAGACCTTAGCGAATTTCTTGTTTTCGTATTGCATGTGAAGTAACTGGACTGATGCGAATTATCTGGTTAGCGTTGACCGAAAACATTGATTCACTAATTAAGTATTAAAAGACTTACAGTATTCCCTCTGAAGATTCCCTGAGCTTATAATTAGATTCTCCCTCTCCGCCTCACGATTCGTTTGGTCGGGACTTAGTTTGGTAGGAAGATGTCCAGCCCCTTGAAGACATCGAGCTATGAATTGATCTTTATCAAAAGGAAGGGACCTCAGTTGATTTCCATTGGCTTCGTCATCCTCAAAGTCCAATTCGTCTAGTTTATCCTCAATACAGTGGATCCTCAACTCATAGAAGGTGAGTGTCCGGTGAATTAACGAGGTAAAGCCGCGGTGGCAATTGAAGTCAGGCAAATACATCTGCGTTGCTGCTATGGATGGCCAGCCCCTCGGCGAGTTGTTCCCTTGAAGCATAGACATTAGACATAGTGCCTTGTAAATACTTGGGTTTGGAATGCGCTAACTTACTGACATCTTCGTCAGTAAAGAACTCGTCGGTTTTGGCGCCGACCTTTCTTCGAGCTAGATCGTATGCACCAATCAATACAACTAATAATGAATACGAATCATAAAGTCACAGCTTACCTTCCTCAACTTTATCGAGCATCTTCGAGTAAGTGGGCTGTTGTGTTGTAGTAGTAGTTGGGGTTGGTGTAGCAATGCTGTTTCTGTTGTGTGACTGGACACAGGCATCTAGCCGAACTGTGGTAGACGAACCCGCCATAGCGAATTAAGGTGGCTCATTCCTGATGAATCTCTTTTTCATATTAGGCATCATGAAGTCAACCTCCTATACTTATATGCGCGGAAGGCTCGAGGTTCCACACCTGAGGCTCCGTGACACATCACCGCTTTAGTTGTCGACACAATTGCTGGCGAGAAGATACAGTTCGACAAGAGTTCGAAATATGCTTCAATGCCCGAATTGGCCCCCATGGAGGTCGAAAAGATGGCCGGCATCAAGAGGTGGGTGTAGTGCGATTTGACCTGACGAGAGGAATCGTAATGCCGTATATTTAAATCCAGAGACATCATGAGGCGGTGAGGGCAGAAGGACAATCGGTGAAAACATCTAGAGTATGCTTGCAGCATTTACTTACTTAAAAAAGAGGCTCGGCCCTTAGTGTGTAAGGATTATTGGGGGTCATGTCCAATAATATCCCTCACGACGTCTAAAGGTGTTCACTACTTCACAACCAACATCTACTAAATCTGGCAAATTATCAGCCGATGATGACTCGCAGAAGGTCATAAGGCCCAGATATACAGCCTCATAAAAGTAACATTGGCATCGTGTCAAGTTGAAGACTCCGTGGTGAAGGAGCCTGGGGTTGCTTAGGATGTTTGCTACTCTCTCATGGCGTTGGGCATCATCAACTATCCTCCCACAGATGGGTTTCATAAAACGAGGCTGAGTATATCAACAGTTGACCGCTTATCTACCTACCTAGGTAGATATAAAAACAGGAAGCAGAAGGCCGAGATAGAAAATCCTTCTCGTGAGGACTAACACAATTCTTTCAGAACCCCCTCGACGTAGGCCTCAGTTCAGATATACACCTCGATTATTAATACATTTCGCGAGTATTAAGGATAATTACGATGACAGGCAGGATTTAAAGGGGTAGACTCGTTCTAATGATGATAATAAGTTGTAGGATGACGACTCCATCGTGCAGTGAGAGAATACCCCGCGTGGACTAAGCAGTTTGACTTGCATTAGGGGGGCCGATCCCGCGGCGGGTAGTCAAATGCAACGTGGCTCGTAGAGGGCGACCTTGAGAATCATCTCGAGTATCTATCATAATGATTATCTACAACTCAGAGAGGGAGGGATTCCTATATGGTTCGTACCAATGTTCCATCGACCGAGCGGCTTCAAGAAACGACCAACTTGATCTTCGAGTAAGAATGACTCGATCTAACGTATTAGAAGCCAATTCAAAGGGTGGTATGGAGGCTTATTATAGTGTTTGCTTAAAAGTAAACGTCCTATACCGTCTGGGTAAGTGCAGTGCGTATCTACCTACCCATGCACCTTAGTAGGCACGATTTGAAGATGAACGGCAATAACTCCGAGTCCTTTAGTAGAATACTCCGATAGTCAACAGTAGGAATATAACTAAAAGCCCGGACTGTAGCGTTCAATTTATAGCAGGGATGCGAACGTTATATGATTTTACCTACCCAAGTACCTAGGTAGGTATGTCTTAGTATCGTGTTAGGTGCTGCACCCATATCACTGACCAATGGCACAGTCAGGGAAATTAGACGGCCAAGTATATATCTCGTGTAAGTGTTAATGTAGCAAGCAGAGATAGCAAGTAAAATACTATTATATGTTTGAGAGATATGTACTTCTTACTGGGTGGTCTCGGTAGGATGGCCCAAATTAACCAAAAATAGACAGGTGGAGGGTCACTAAATAGGGGGTACTGACCACGAAATGGAAATGCATCGCCCAGAAAAGCAGTTTCTTGCGACAAGACTTCTTTAACTTCCACACAACTGTAGAACCTACAACCCTCAACTCTCAAAAAGTTTCGAACAAATCTAACGACGTTTTCTTGACGCGAATAATAGTATAAATCCCAACCCCGAGACTTGTTGCTGATAACAGTTTAAACAGAAGGTACCTTGGTACTCAATAACTGTTTTCGATGCCAGATATAAATTAAACATTTCGCATCAGGAATACATACTAGCAGTTTCTCAGAGTCGAATGGAAGCGTTCTTGAGCATGAAAAGGCGAACCCAGAGAGGATTTCGGGGCTCTAGTGTCGGGAGAGGGGTTCTCGTTCACCCCCTCAGCAATGGGGGAAACAGAAAATCTCTGGGGCTAACGCCAACATGTCTGGATGAAATGGTGATTGGCTAGCATATGTGTGATACATATGTGACCGCCGATGACGCACATCACAGTCTGGGAGAATGATTATTAAGACATGCCACTCCTGGGTATGCCCGGGAAATTGATGGATCTTCCCCGACGGACAGAACCGCGATATCGGGTCAAAAACAGATGGTCACTGGAACCCCTGTTCTTCCGGCGTATCCAGGTACCTGGGTACCTTATCAACAAAACTTCATTCGAATCGCTCACTCCATCCCCTGCAAACACTTGAATAGTGTTATGACTCCGGTTACTGAGGTCGAAGTTCAAATATATAGGTAGTCTGTTCATAGACATAGAGAGACGTTAATATGGATCCTCAACTGTCAAACGGAAACATAATGGAGCGCGGGGGTGAGGTTACATTCTAAGTACAGTTCCCCAGACACCCATGTATCACCATACCTGGGGCTTGAAGTGGCTGACGCTATTGCTTAGGTGTTGGGTCGGAAATGAGATGTTTCACTTTGTGTGATTGGCAGCGTGTGATAGGTGGTGGGCGTCGCGTATCGTTTTCCTCACTCGATCGGTATTCTTCCAAGCCATAAAGCCCCATGGAAAAGCCCGGTCAATTTTCACAAGGGTGTTTAGCTCATCCACGCGGAAAATTCAGAAATACACGGGAAAATTGTTGACCTATGGCACACAGACATTGGCAGATCCTGGTCAAAGGAATTACAAGAAGAGATATAACAATAGAGGAGATGTCGAATTTTCCCAGGTCTACGGGTTCACTAACTATCTCCCTACTGTTCGAAAGACGATCAATCGTAGCACATTCTATGGCCTTTTCTCCCGAAGAAATCTTGGAAATGAGAAGCATCAGAATTACCCGGTACGAAGTAGCGCCCTGATTCCCTGGATGAGCCGCAATCCCCCTGTTAGCTGGCCGCCGATAAAGTCCGATCCACCCCCTTCCACACTTCTACGCTATGATTTCTTCCTTGCCCGATTGTCATTGCATACGGATATTCTACACGCGTTCCTTCCTTTTGCCAGGTCAAGATTCGAATGCTATTGTTAGTGAAACGAGTCTTCGAGAGTACCACAGCTGGCTAAGGGCTTCTTACCCTCGAGCCGAAGCATAAGATATCTCTGCTAGCGACACTCTTCCTGTTTACCCCGCGAATGCATCGCCTTTCCCGTCCAAGCCCGAGCACCTACATCATAAGCTACGCCCGACACTATAGTTATGCAGCGAGCTGCATGAAAATACCTTGTCATACTAGCGCTATAAATTTTCTTGTGGATATAGCATTTTGCTTTGCAGACGTCAATGACTTTTTGTTATCCCATGTAATTCTTGGGAAGATGCGGACCTGTGCTCGTCGTCAAGCCCTAGGGCACACCAAATAATAATTGGAAGTAATAGTTGGAAGTATAAAAGGACCCTACTTCACTCACCTCTTTCCTTAAAGGGTGTAGGAACTCAGTAACTCGTTCAACCTATAGCCATATGTCTATTAAAGTCACCACAGAAGACCGCCCCACGAGGTAACGTAATAACTTTCCACCTTCTGAAGCCCCTCTTCCACACCCAGTGATGTTGCGATGTGAAAGACGTCGCGTTTCTAGCTTACAGTCTACATTGCTCCCCAATTACTTACCACAACACCCATAATTACCCTACCGAGACACCTTTAGCGCCTGACCCCAGCATCAGGTCTAACTAGATTTAAGCCACGCTTTTTACGAGAATTACTCCCATGCCGATCCACCATATTCAAAATTCCATCATGGCACTTTGTGGCCTCGTCAAGACGAAAAAGCGAACTAGCCAGAGAGGAGTTAAGACAGGAGGAATATCTCTTCTTGACAAAGGCTCTTTACGAACGAATGACGACACCAAGGCGGATATGACGAGGAGTGATGGAGAAGCGAGTGGAAAGGAGAATGGCAGTAGTAAAGGTGGCGCCTAGCTATGAAGAGAATTGATGCAGAACCACATACTAGGAAAAATGCAGCAAGTTTCGGTGCAGTAGTGCTCCTTCTCAAATTGAAGCCCTTTGCACCCTTTCCACAGAAACGAAGCCGTAGTGTCCTACGCTTTCCTCGTACCTCAAAAAGCGAACTAAAAGCTACAAGCTGTTGGCCGTACATACCTTTAGAACTCCTTAGACGATAATCGAGGATGACTAATTTGCAAAATTTTAAAATGCCAAGGAGCGACAGCGACGGCATAGTGTAGCTCTGCAGGCTGGTGCGCAGTTGTAGGTCGCTTGGGGCATATAGGCCATTCACTTAGTAGTTGTAGCTTCTGGTTACTTATTTACGTAACTACAATAATTGGATAATACAAGGGGTCGGTTGCGACGTTTATCCTGTAAAAGGGGGTTGGAGGAGCTTCCGATTTCCTACGACTTTCTCGATGAGACGGGATTGTAACCGCTAGATGAAGCCATAATCTCCATTCCGCCCATTATAGAATACCATTGATGCTTTCATACTGACTTCCATCCTTGTCGTTTACATACCTAGGTGCCTATCTAAGTATACAGTGGTTCCAACATTGGTAGCTATACCCATGTTTGCCCTGCGGGTGTTTCCAGTATTGCAAACCTCTGTCTAGTCACGACGGAGAGTAAAATTATCCCGGCCATCATCCCGGCCAATGACTAGAAAGCCTACATTTGGAAAATGCTCTAATTGCTCGACTACCCTTCCGCTAGTGCCGTCGGCAAAAGAATTCGTTGGACCAACACATAATGATTTCGGCAACGAGACACAGCCCGCACAGACGGCCACCTAGGTCAGAGCATGAACATATATGGAATCCACATCTGCTGCGCGTGGTACTTAGTAGACTCCACTCATACTTTCTTCTACTTAACAACAAAACGATCATCGTCAGGGGTCACGCTAGTCAGCGTACACAATTAGGGTATGATCATGGCA